TCGCATGAATTGTCTTCGTGTCCTCCTGGGAGAGAGTGGTGTGATTGAACTTCCTGGGCTTGAGAATCCGTGTCAAAACATAAAAAATGAATCGAAACACGGGACTCATGGAAGCAATCGTAGGGCGCCGCTGTTGGGGAGTGGGTACGAAGTGTCGGATGCCCACTTCCTCCAAGAGAGCGGTCTCGTTGAACCGTGCACCTTCTTCTCCAACGTAGAGCCCGAGATCCTGTCCATCCCGATGAAGCCCGGTGAGGATTTGAATGTTCTCCTCATTCAAATAGATGTCCACCCCGTTGACGTTAGAGATCAATGCTCCGTCCTCATCCTTTTTCAAGTTCGAGTAGAAAGCTCGAACAAGAAAGGGTTGATAGTTGATCTTCTTGATGTAGAGGAGATCGAGGAAGTTTCCACGTTCGAGGATAATCCGTGCCTCACGTGGAATGGAGTCATGAATGAAGCGGGCGGTGGAGAATCGGGGAGGGAGAATCTCCCAGTGCTCAAATTTCTCCGAGAACCGCATCGCCTCTATGTGGGCGTTGAACCAAAGGAACGACCCGTCGAGGTACTTGTGCGTCGGTGGTGGAGGAGCCGAGGAAGAAGCCACGTTCTTGCCGGTGCGAGATCTTTTTCTTTGACCTCCTGGAATTTCAACAAAGAGAGAGAGGGAGAGCAAGACAAAAAAAGAGAAATTTGCAGGGATTTTGCAAGAACACTGAAGAATAATTGCAAGAAGGATGAAATATTGATGAATATATGAAGGAATTGTGATTTGAGTGAGTAAAAAATGAAAGGATATCACCAATATATAGTGGAAGAGGCCTGAGATGCGTTTGGGAAGTCAAAAAGGTGCCTTGAATGTAGTTCTAACGTCTCTGTAACGGTCAGATTTTTGAAAAATCGCCGTTGATAATCGATTTACACTCCCTGTAAATCGATTATCTGAGGCTTCAGATTATCCGCCAAAGAAACTGCAGGCTTCAATAATCGATTTCTGCCTGGTTGTAAATCGATTGTTGTAGTTTGCGCCTGAGTTGCCTTTAACTTCTGCAGTCGTACATAATCGATTATCTTATAGTTGATAATCGATTGTTGCTGGTTTGCGCCTAACTTTTGAGAAAGTTCTGCAGCCCCTGATAATCGATTATCTTAATGCTGATAATCGATTGTTGGCTCCTTTAGTTTCTTTGCTCCAACTCCTGTGGGTTGTGATAGTCGATTATCACAAGCCTATAAATCGATTTACACCAGGTCTGGAGACAAAAAAATCGATTTGCTTTGTTCCCCCTGACTTTGACACCTGAAAATAAAATTAAAAACAAAGAGCCCTGCAAAAAAGAATTAAAAATGTCTCCGACGTTCAAGTTAGTAAGGACCAAAAATAATAATTAATGCACAATTTAGATCATCGTGGAGTCAAGGATTCCGAGTTCACTACGAATGCGGAAGAACGACTCTTTCTCTAAAGGTTTTGTGAAAATGTCGGCTAATTGGTTGTGTGTTTCAACAAACTCAATTTCGACATCACCTTTGAGAACATGATCTCTAATGAAATGATGCCTAATGTCAATATGTTTCGTCCTTGAGTGAAGAACCGGATTCTTCGTCAAGCTTATGACACTAGTATTATCACATCGAAGAGGGACGTGATCGATACTAAGGCCATAATCCACAAGTTGTTGCTTCATCCAAAGGATTTGAGCACAACAACTACCGGCGGAAACATATTCCGCTTCGGTTGTGGATAACGCAACACTGACTTGCTTCTTGCTAAACCATGAGACTAAAGAACTACCAAGCAAGTGACAAGTCCCACTCGTACTCTTACGGTCTAATCTACAACCGGCAAAGTCCGAGTCGGAATAGCCAAAAAGATGACAAGGAGACCCCTTGGGGTACCATAGTCCAACGTTCATTGTA